TGTTAAGATTGCTAATGAAGTTGTCTTGAGAGGCCGAACTCCTCCTCTTGTAAATTGGCGTAAATCAAAATCTACCAGCGGGTATTGTTTACCATAGAAGGTTTTACTACACCCACATGCCAAACAAGTTCTTTTGTCAATATTGTTTTGAGGTTACTTGAATCTGATGAGCAACTTTGATTTTGGCTTACTATTTGCAAACACTACTGTCTAGTTTTGCAATTCACAAACGAACATGCATCTGTTTTCACCATTTCATAATATGAAATTTGAAATTTTTTTATACAAAGCGATCTTTTCTAGATGGTAGACTTGCTAGTTGATAACATTGATTTTATCTTACAAATTATATCCTACTAAATACATTCAAATTCACAGAAACGAGGTTAGTATAGAAGGGATCGATACACAAAAACTAGTTGATTGTATTAAAAAATAATATCTTCAAGTACAACCCACATGTGGGTTGGAAATTGTGCAATGCTTGTGCAAGTTAGTGGAGCAACAACACCATCAAGTAACTCTAATGGAAATTTTCATGATCATTTGAAAAATACCATCAAATTATCTTTCTACATATATCATTTCTTTAGGTATTGGCTCTCCTATTTAGCATGTAGAGCATCCTCATTATCATTGAATAATCGAAGAAAGATACATCTTTGTTTAGAGACAAATTAACAAGAAAAAAGAAAAAAAAAGTTTCATAGTCATTAACACGTAATTACCTTTTTAGTTGTTAGACTCTCTTCTCCTCATGTATACATCTTACATCACGGCTTTGAAGTGAGATAGCTAGAGTGTGGGATGCATCATGACTTTTCCACCAAATTTCAAACCCGCATTGACAAACTTTTGCATATTGTCTCTAGCCATAATGGTTTTTAACCACCCTTTTACATCTTTCTTTGTGGTACAAACGGTGCTTATCACGCTCTCTGACTCGAAGTAAAAACGAAAAAAAAAACTATTTCCTCATCAACCAATGAATTTTTCTCAGTTGAGCTCTAGTGGTGAAGTTTTTCAATTGGGTTCTGATGAAGTAGACACGTACGGAGCTTGATTTTTTTAATAAAGATCTCAAAATTGCTCGACCGTTGGATTTTACTTGTACAATGTCCATTAAATCTTAGCCG